TCAAATCGTTATAACATTTTGTTTTGTCATAAACCAATTGTTTTTGTTTATAAAAGCTTATTTGAAATAAAATAAAACTAATTTATTAAAATTTTAAAAATTAATAAGTAAAAGATTTTTAAAAATAAATATGTTTACTGAGCAAGTTTAAATAGTTATTGCTATTTGAATAATTATTTATTTCAAATCATTATGATTTTTTGTTTTGTCATAAAATAATTGTTTCTATTCATGCAAGTTTATTCAAAATAAAATAATACTAATTTATTAATATTCTAAAAATTCATAAGTTGGAGATTTAAAAAATAAATCTATTTACCGAACAAATTCAAATAGTCATATCCATTAGACCTATTATCTATTTCAAATCGTTATTACATTTTGTTTTGTCATATAACAATTATTTCTATTTATATAAAATTATTCAAAATAAAATAATAATAAATAATAATTTATTAATATTTCAAAAATTAATAAGAGATTTAAAAACTAAATCTGTTTATTGAACTAATTCAAATAGTTATAACTATTTGAATAATTATCTATCTCTAATCGTTATAATCTTTATTTTGTCATAAAATGATCGTTTCTATTCATACAGCTTATTTGAAAGTAAAATATTGCTAAATTAATAATATTCTAAAAATTAATAAGTAAGAGATTTAAAAAATAAATGTGTTTACCGAGCTTGTTCAAATAGTTAAGACTATTAAAACAATTATCTATTTCAAATCATTCTGACCTTTTGTTTAGTCATAAAATAATTGTTTTAGTTCATAAATGTTTATTCAAAATAAAATAATACCAATTTATTAACATTCAAAAAATTAATAAATAAGAGATTTAAAAAAATAAATTTATTTACTGAACAAATTCAAATAGTTATGACTATTTGAAGAATTATCTATTTAAAATAAACATAACCTTTTGTTTTATCATAAAATAATTGTTTCAGTTCATAAAAGCTTATCTAAAATAAAATAGTATTACTTTATTAATATTTCAAAAATTAATAAGTTAGAGATTTAAAAAATATTTCAGTTTATCGAATCGATTCAAATAATTATAGCCATTTGAACAATTATATTTTTTAAACCGTTACGAACTTTTGTTTTATCATAAAACAATTATTTTTCATCATATAAACCTATTCGAAATAAAATAATACTAATTTATTAATATTTCAAAAATTAATAAGTAAGAGATTTAAAAAATAAATCTGTTTATCGAACCAGTTCCTATCAAACAATTATTTATTTCAAATTGTTATAACTTTTTATTTTGTTATAAAATAATTATTTCAGTTCATATAAGTTTATTCAGAATAAAATAATATTTATTTAATAATATTTCAAAAATTAATAATCAAGAGATTTAAAAAATAAATCTGTTTGTCGAAGCAGTTGAAATAGTTAAGACTACATGAATAATCTATTTCAAATCATTATGACCTTTTATTTTATCATAAAACAATTGTTTCAGTTCATACAAACTGATTCGAAATAAAATAATACTAATTTATTAATATTTCAAAAACTAATAAGTAAGTGATTTAAAAAGTGAATCTGTTTATCAAATCAGTTCAAATAATTATGGTCATATCAATAATTATCTATTTCAAATCGTTATTAATTTTTGTTTAGTCATATAACAATTGTTTTTGAATATTCAAGTTTATTCGAAATAAAATAATATTAATTTATTAATCTTTTAAAAATTAATAAGTAAGAAATTAAAAAAAAAATGTTTACCGAACTAGTTCAAATAGTTATGACTATTTGAATAATTATTAACTTCAAATCATTATAACCTTTTGTTATGTCATAAAACAATTATTTTTGTTCATACAAGTTTATTTGAAATCAAGTAATACTAATGTAATAATATTCCAAAAATTAATAACTAAGAGAATTAAAAAATAAATTTATTTGTCGAACCAATTCAAATATTTAAGACTATATGAATAATTATCTATTTCAAATCATTATGACATTTTCTTTTGTCATAAAACAAATATTTTTGTCTATATAAGTTTGTTCGAAATAAAGTAATACTAATCTATTAATATTTTAAAAATAATAAGAGATTTAAAAAATAAATCTATTTATCAAACTAGTTTAAATAGTTATGACTATTTTAGTAATTATTTATTTCAAATTATTATGACTTTTGTGCTATTATAAAATAATTGTTTCTATTCTTATTCGAATTAAAATAATATTAATTTATTAATATTTCGATAATTAATAAGTAAAAAAATTTTAAAATAAATATTTTTACCGAACTAGATAAATAATCATAACTATTTGAATAATTATCTCTTTTAAATTGTTATGACATTTTGTTTTGTTATAAAAGAATTATTTCAGTTCATATAAATTTATTCAAAATAAAATAATAACAATTTATTAATAATATGAAAATTAATAATAAAAAGATTTAAAAAATGAATCTGTTTACTAAACAAATTTAAATAATTGTGACTGTTTAAACAATTATCTATTTGAAATCACTATAGCCTTTCGTTTTGTCATAAAATAATTTTTTCTGATACAAGCTTATTTTAAATAAAATAATACAAATTTATTAATATTAGACAATTGATTGCACTTAAAATTTTAGTTTTTTAATACTTAATTTTACTACAATTTAACTATTATTTTAGCTTGTTCTTTAGCATTTCTTAGCAAAAATACTTCTAAAATTACAATTGTCTTATGTGTAAGTGGAATTGAAGAAAATAAAGAATTTTGAACATAATGTAGAGGATTTTGGTGCTAATGGTGTTCATTAGTGTCAATTGGTCGCATTGATACTTAGAGAGTTTTTTTTATTTTAACTTTTTTTGCTTGAATTTTTTTAGTCTTATTTTCTTAGATTTTTTAGTAAAACTTGTGATAGAAATACTCACTAAGCGTGGAATTTCTTTTACAAATATATATATATATATATATATATATTAAAAAAGGCAAAATACATTATGCATGGGATGAAGCTACTAGCAAAAGATGCCCAAGTTAGAAAAAATAAAAGGAGCTAATGTGGCACAAAGGAACCATTTGATTGGCTGATGAGTGATTAGGAGGGAGCTCACATTCAGCTGAAAAAGCCAAACAGCAGGGGAGGAACAGAACCCAGTCATGCAACCCAGGACATAGACATGTACATGTACTAGTGCTGAGGCACCAGTAGAAAAAAAAAATCAAAATGTTAAGGCTTTAGGCGTGCACCAGAATGAGGAGTGAAGCTCCAAAATTTTTTTTCAGCACCTAAGGTCCCTCCCCTCTGCCTATAAATAAAGGAGAAGACCAACCTTAGAAAGCACTTAGGCTAGATTTACTTCTCCGTTTTTTTTCTTTCTGCATTTTCTTTTCACGTTCTTAAACTTTCCTAGCTCCCAAACACTTTTTTTTAGATTTTCTTAGTGAAACTTGTTGCTAATTTACATGTCTTTGTGTATTTTCTTAAGATCTTTTCAAATCTTGCTATGAAATTTGAGGATTCAAACAGTTTTTCACTCCAAACAGATTAACTCCATTTACTTTTCCACTTGTTTGTGAAATTGATTAAGTTGATATTCAGTAGGTTTTTACATTGAATCTATAGCAATTTTTGTTAAATTTTATTCAAATTTTTTTTACAGGTTGCTAAGCTACAGATCATCAACATTTATAAATTTTAGATTGAAACTTGAAGCATAGGATTTCAGGTCAAAAATTGAAAGGTGCGATTGAAGCAACTGCTGGTGCCAGACATGATCACTTCTGTTTGGCGTGGATCTGCTCTCTTTATGGATAACTATTGGCTCTTTTTTCTTCTTAGATTCATAGTTTTATGATTTACTTAATGATTCTTGATTGATTTTTTAAAAATTTTACTTGATCTAGATGTTGTTTGAATCAAACACTTTCCATTGAAGCATATCAGTAACTTGTTTTGTGTTTTAATTTGCTGAGTTGATTTTACATTTGATTTTTGTTCTTTTTTGTGGATTCTCGTGAGACACTTGTTAGTACTGATGTTCTCAATGTTGTTGAATATTTCTTGTTACCTTTTATGATTGTGGCTGAAGTTTTTTTTTTAAGGTTCATGCAAAGCGATGCATGGTGAAACAGTTTCTGATTGAGTTCAGGTTGAAGTTTTTTTTTTTCTGCATCTTAGTCCTGGTTTTTTTTTTTTTCATCATTTCCTTGATCCTCTCACCTTCATTTAGAGATAAGTTTCTTTCCTAGCATAGAGATTTCATTTACTAAAATTGCATGTTGCATTTTCAATCACTATTTTCATACATTCACTGCATGCGTAAAACTGAAATGTTTTCTTTATTCTTTTTTTTTTTTTAATTGTTTGTTTAAGCTTGCTAATTCATTTTACTTCATTGAGTAGATATTTTCTTGTCCATACAAAGTGCAATTAGATTTAGGATCATATATACGTTTCATGAAAGTAAACTAAGCTGTTTGTGATGGTGAAGTCATACAAATGAAGATGCATTCACCGTTAGTTACACGTTCTTGTATTTGGTTTTTTTTCCATTGCAACTCTTCATATAAGTCGGCAGTTAGATTTTCATATAGGATTTGTTTAGTTTTAATGTTTCATCAATAGAAAACAAGTTAGTTTTCATTATAGGTGTTAGTTTGTGGATTACACCAGATTTCAATTCCTGAATTTTTATTTTTTAGAATTTAAAGTACTATTTTTATGGAATTTTGGTTTTAGAATTTTAAATACTTTTTTCATGTGAATATACCATTGTTCTTCACATTTAATTTTTAATTTTGTATTCTATTACATGTTTTTGGATTTTATTTCTTAGTTTTGATTCATAATTGTTTTTATGATTTGTTTCTTGATTTGATTTTGCATCATTAATTTTGTAGGAATTTTTTTTTTCTTTCTTTTTCATAGATATTGATGGACCGAACAAACTTTAAATAGTATATGAAGACAAGCAGTACTTAGTTTAGGAACCTCTTTAGAAATCTTCGAACGATTGACACTCAGATTTTTTAGTATCTATTATTACTTGACAGCTTGTGCGCTTGCATGGGATTTTACCAATCAAAGTTTTTGGTGCCATTGCCGAAGATTAGATCTAAGGAGTCCTAGGTTAATATCAACTTTCATCATACTCTACTATAAATTGATTTACTTTAGTGTACATACCTTAGGCTAGAATTCAAATTTATTTCAATTCTAGGTGTACATATTTAGAGTTTTATTTTTAGAGTGGTTACTAGGTTTAGTGTTCTTGGGGCCCATGTATGCACTCTGTTAGAAATCGTGAGTTGATCCATTTATATCTTGAGGTTAAGGCTACTTGTAGGAGGACTAGAAGGAAAAAATAAACCGAGCCTACTATCACTATGGCCGAGCAAGATACTAAAGCCCTTAAGGATTATGCTGTGCTCGATCTTCATGGTTTTTAGCCTTGTATTAGGAGGCCAATCATACAAACCAATAATTTTGAGATTAATCCTACAATCATCCAAATGATATAACAGTAAGTGCAATTTAGAAATTATTTGAGTGAGGATCTAAATGCTCATCTTTGGGATTTATTAGAGATATGTGATACATTTAAACATGATAGTGTTACTGAGGATGCCATTAAGCTTAGGTTGTTTCCATTCTCTCTTATAAATAGAGCTAAGAGTTGGTTACCTCGATGCCACCAGATTTAATTACCACTTGGGATGATTTAGTGCAGAAGTTTATGGCTAAATTTTTTCCTCAGGTCAAGACGGCCAAGCTTTGGAATGAAATTACTACATTTGTCTAACATGACTTGAAAACCTTGTATGAGCCATGGAAGAGATACAAGAAGTTCTTGAGGTGGTATCCACATCATGTACTACCAAAATGGCTAAAGATTTAGATCTTTTACAATAGGTTAGTACCTAATACTAGAACACTCTTAGATGCTGCATCAAGAGGTGCTTTAATTTATAAAACTTCTGACATAGCTTATGATCTGATTAAGGATATGGCAACTAATAATTGTCAGTGGTCCAATGAAAAATAGCATCTTAAGAAAGCTTCAGGGGTGTACGAGCTTAAGAAGCTTAGAGCACTTAGTGCTAAGGTAGATTCCTTAGCCAAATTTGTTGAGTCTTTACATTGTAAAGTTACATCCTCATAGCCTAGGCCTAGTCATCTAAAGTTGACTCATACCCATAGTTCCATATCTATGTGTGAGACATACAAGGTAGGACACCTAGGAGAGTCATGTCCAAATACTCATTCAGAGTCAGTTTCATTTGCAAGACAGAACCCAAAGTAGTCCAACAACCCTTATTCTTCCATATACAACCCAGGCTAGAGGAATAATCTTGTTTGCTCTTGGAATCAACAACAAAATCACCATCCCACATCTTTTTAGACTAGTTAGGCACCATTACCACCAGCACCACCACCACCACAGCATGCTTAATTTCCTAGACCACTTCATCCACCTGGCTTTCAGCAGCCACCATATCAGCAACAGTCTTCATAGCAATACTACATACTTTCATATCTATCTATGTCACCCTCAAATAAAAAGACTTCAGTCGAAGATCTTTTAGATTCTTTTATGAGAACCCAAACTTCAATTATGCATACTCAAAATACAATATTTCAAAATCAACTTCAATAGAGAACTTAAAGACTCAGATTGATCAGCTAACTGTTTTTTAAGTATCGGACTTCAAGGTATCTTACCTAATAATACAGAAGTTAACCCTCGAAGGGAGGAAAAAGAGCATTATAAATCAATCATCCTTAGGAGTGAAATCCATAAAAAACTTAAAAGACTCATATTGATTAGCTAACTAATCTTTTAAGTATCGGACTTTAAGGTACCTTACCCAATAATACATAAGTTAACCCTGTAAGGGAGGGAAAAGAGCATTGTAAATCAGTCATCGATAGGAGTGGAAAGGTTTTTACTGTGGCGACTGGCGACTGGCGACAGCTTTTAAGTCTCAACGACAAAGCCGCATTTCTTCATTTTATATATATAGCATACATAGTTGCACACTACTAAGATACGAAGTAATACTTAAAATAATAGATTAATTATAGATATGTGTTCCTCCGTCTTTTTCCAAATGTTGTGAAAGAAATGTCATATGAATGATGGATTTGGCTTCATCAACCTTCTTCTTCCGTTAATTTAACTTTCTGATATTATTTATATGTTTTTTTCTACTAGTACTAGTATATAACAAATTTCTTAATTCAGAAAGAAACGGCTACAATGGACTCCGAGCAGAACAGATTCCATCAGCAAGAACGGGTTCGTTTTTTACTTTTACCTCATTGTTTAGATCTGTTGCTTTTGCCTCCAGTTTTGTCTCAGATCTGATTTCTTTTTTTCGCTACTATTATTCTCCTCTGATTTGTTTGTGACTTTTTGCGTGGTGTTGTTTTTCTTTTTTTTTTTTTTTCAAAGAACTAGTAAAACAATTAAAGAAGAAGAAGAAAGAATTGATCTGAGCTGGGCCCATCTCACAAGACCTACACTCTGATGAGATGCTGGATTTCTTGGTGTGGTTAATTGGCGGTGTGTGTTTTATTGACTTCTCAATTTCAAGTGTTCAACATTATTCATCGCATTTTAATTGTCTGTCCTTTAATATTTTGATACATGTACTTAGTTTATTGCACTCTTCATCTATAGATCCAACCACTTCACCACCTCCTTACAAGTTTGCTTGTCGGATTCTGTTAACCAAAGAATTTTTGTCTTCTGCTATTGAAAACTACTTGAGATCCTTGATTTACCTTGTCTGTCTTTTCATTTCCCTTTCCTTTACTTGTTTTGCAGTTTCAGACCTTTTTCAAATTTTCTATCCATTCGTTGCTGCTCATCCCACCTACACAAACGATCTTAAAATCCCAACATCTAACAGCTTCTCGACTCAGTAGTAAATCTAACTTTAACAACAGCGCAAACTTGGAAGTACAACTTTGCAAATTTAGTAACAGCAGTGCTTACCATGCCTAAGTGCAGTGTTGAGGGCTGCATTCTTCTTGAATTTCATTGTCCTTATATAAAGGTTCCAATTCCCGTTCCGGGAACGTGAGTTTTCTGTTTTTCCTAGAACCCTTTGGTTATACGTGGAAATAAGTGGGTTTGGATTATCATTTCACTTTGTTAATATTATTATCTTTACGTTTTGCCCGTTCACACTAAGTTACTAGACACACTATTTCTCTTTTATCTCTGTATTGAATTGCTCCTCTTTCTGCACGTGTGTGTGAGATGTGTCTGCTGTGTATGGAAAAATTTTAACACAACAAAGAATTTGTATGTGATCTGTTGTATATGACATGTACGTATTATACATATATGCTTGAATGGTGCTCTTTTGTGCATGTTATAAGAATGTATTTTCTGAGCACAAAACTACTTGATTTCTTGTACCCATATTCTGAAGAATCTTGGTATTTGTCATCTATTCATCTGTACTGTCTTTCAATGTTGCAGTAGCTCTAGAGATATATAGTGCTCATTTATGTGTTTCCGAATTCATCTTGCTTTTCTGGAAATTATGCTGCTGAAATTTAAGCACAGAAAAAGAGAGAGAGAGAGAGAGAGCCTAATCCTCTTACTAATTGGAATTTACTTCTTGAGGATTGCTGGTTTTAATTTGTTCAATTTCAATTTTCCTTTCCTTTTGAGTGATCAGACTGAAGCTTACAATGTTTAATCTTGTTGCTAGCGAAAGAGATGGGGAGGATGTTGGGGGCTATTTTCCTGTTTTGGTAAACAAAAAGGCAGAAAGCGTATTGTTCCTGCATCTCGTATTCCTGAGGGCAATGCATCAGCCACCCAGCCAAATGGTTCTCAAGCTGTTGGGATGACCAACCAAGCTACTACATTAGCTCCATCACTTCTAGCACCTCCTTCTTCTCCAGCGTCCTTTACAAATTCTGCACTCCCTTCAACAGCTCAATCACCAATTTGCTTCTTGTCATTATCTGCTAACTCGCCTGGAGGGCCATCATCCACCATGTTTGCCACTGGACCATATGCCCATGAGACACAACTAGTTTCTCCCCCCATTTTCTCAACCTTTACAACTGAGCCTTCTACTGCTCCACTCACTCCCCCTCCCGAGTTAGCCCACCTCACTACCCGCTCTTCACCCGATGTCCCTTTTGCAATGTTCTTGACATCTTCTGCAGTTCTTAAAAGTGCTGATAAGAATACTTATATTACTGTACATGATCTTCAATCCACATATCCGCTATACCCCGGAAGTCCTGCCAGTAGCCTCATATCACCAATCTCTATAACCATGGTTGATTGTTTGTCATCATCCTTTCCTGAACAGGAATTTCCTCCGCAGTGGGATGCTTCAGTTTTTCCCCAGAATGGCAAACATTCAAGAAGTGGTTCTGGCAGGTTATTTGGGCATGATGTTAATGGTTCCTCCATAGGGTCTCAAGATACAAATTTCTTCTGTCCTGCTACATTTGCACAATTCTATCTGGATCATAATCCACTTCCTCATGCCGGTGGGAGATTAAGTGTTTCCAAGGATTCAGATGTTTATCCTACTAGTTGCAATGGGCATCAAAATAGACATAGTAAAAGTCCTAAGAAAGATGTGGAAGAACTTGAAGCTTACAGAGCTTCCTTTGGATTTAGTGCAGATGAAATAATCACTACTACTCAATATATGGAGATTACTGATGTTACAGAGGACTCGTTTACCATGACACCTTTTCCTACAGATAAACCTGCTTTTGAAGAAAGAATGGAACTTGCATCAATCGGTGAAGGTCCAAAGACAGATAGGATACAGGAAAACTTGCTGGATGAGAAGGAATGTAAATCAGAACCTGATCTTGTCAATTGGATTGTACACCGTGATCGGCAAGTGTCATGCAATGGATACGAAGGTAAAGTGTCCTCAACTTGATCTAAAATTCATTATTACTCTGTCAGTTGCTGGTTGTCAAGAAATCGTGGGAAGGAATTTTAAATAAACTGAAAAGCCTTGGCAGTTTCAGTGTTAGCCGTCTAAGCGTTCTGGATGTCATCTATTCCATAATTTCTAAATAATAAATACGACACAGACTATATCTTGTAAATTTCTCTGGTGTCAGTTTCTCCAGCTTATGCAGTTCATATTTCATATAATGGCAACTTGTATTGATGAAAAAGGAAGGAAAAGAAGAGAAGTTCATAGCATCATTTTTATTTTTTTTCTTTTGAAAATCCCTCCAATAGTATGGAGAAAGACTATAAATTATAAGTTCTCTTTACTTTGTTTGAACTTCTCTTTTGCTTTTGCTATCTGAATGACTCCATACTTCATTACTCTCATGAAGATAGTGCGTGTGATAATTAATATTTTTGTGCATCCAGCATAATTTCTTAAGTGAGAATCTATTGCTCCAATAAGATCAACCACTTTGAACAAATTCTGAATGATAATTTTTGGTATTATTTTTCCTACTTTACGTTATGCTAGGTTAAAATTATCTGGTAACACATGCACGTGCATGCACACACAATCATACCTAAGGGTACATATTCTGAACTTTCACAGTGAAAGGAGTAAAGGACAATAAGGCATGAATAGCATTGTGATAGAATTGGAGGATTGATGAATCAAATGTATCACAACTACTCAAGAAAGTTTTAAGTTCCAGAGTACTTGGACTGCTTCGGGACTATATTTCTATAAAATGTCTATCAATCCATCTTAATAGGATTCTCATCCCATCTCTGTGTTATTGCGCCCTGTTACCTAAAATTCAATAACCTTCTCTCCTTACATGATGCAGATCAAAAATCAAGGAGGCAGGTGACTAATGTCTCTGGGTCAATTACACCCATCAACCATACCCTGACTGATGAAGAGGATGTATTTTTGAAGAAGGGTTCATTAAGGAGAAGGAAATATCATCTGGACTTGTCAAGCTCTAATGCAGAGATTGACTATAGGAGAGGAAGAAGCTTAAGAGAAGGCAAAGGAGATCTCGCATGCCTCGACTAAGAACCAAAGCAGAAACAAGTTATCAGCCGCTTCCCTATGTAGTAAACTGCAGTTTTCTTCTGTTATAACTTCTGTTAATGGTTCATTATGATAGGTGGAATGATCTTAACTTGTGATCTAACCAGATATTCCCTTTCTTTGTTGTCCATCTCAGTCAGGTGTATGACCTGATCTCTCTGATTATGAGCGTGACCCTAGCTTCCTGCTTCATTATAACGTACATGCGTGATGCATGTAATTATATATATATATATATATATATATATATATATACTTTTGTAAAATGCAATTTTACTCGAGTGTATTCTACTTTAGAACACATCATTGTGACTGTTGAATGCTGCTTCTAGGAACTGCTTTTTGGGGTTCAAGGGGGGTGGAATCATGGGGATGAATTTAAATCCTTATGCAACCTCTAGTGGTACAAATTTAAGAAAGAAACCTACAATGGTATTATTTGAGAAAAATATATTTTGCTGATGTGTTAGTGCCACGTGGTATCTAACAGCTAATGTAGTATTATTACATTAGTATACTGTTAGGGACTAATGATTGAATAATAAAAAATATTTATTCAAATTTTAATTAGTAATCATTTTAAAAATATAATCATAATTGAGTGGTAAATAATATATTTTATCTTAATAATAATAATAATAAAGAATGCAGATGCATCTGGATTGGCCTCTCACCTTGCCTGGGGTTTGATGGTACAGATATCACAAACCATCCAAGATTAAGTCTATCAAAGAGATTGAATTCAAATGATACATCATATGTTAATCCAAGAGAATCCCGGCCTGTTGTAAAAAGCCCCTGTCAAGCATGAGAGATTTGCATAAAGACACGAAACTCTTAAAAGCTAAACAAAAATTTTAATTAATAGTTGCATGTGGAATAGAGACTTAATTGTTGATATATTTGTATTTATTTATTTTGTATTTAACATGTGTAAAATATAAAAATTTTAATATTATAATTTGTATCAAATATACTAAATATAAAATAAATTTTTTTATTTTTATTAATCTTATATACAATTTTTTATTAAAATTTCAAACCAACGATTTTTTTTTTCCTTTCTCAATATATTACTTTTACATTACTATTTCATAGTTCAGGATCTGTGTCATCTAACAGGGAAATAAGGTACAAATACGTAAAACATCCCTACAATTATCCAAATCAACACTAGACCCCTCTAGTTAAAAAAACAAAAAAAAAAAAATTTACCCCCTAACGATGTTGCAGTTTACTGCTACGTCACTTAAAAGTTGACCAACTAAATTTTTTTCAAACAAAATTGCCCTCATCTCTTCCGTCACTGCCATCGATATACTTTTCAAATGCAATTAAAAATTCATTATCAACATATGAATATAACAAAAAAGGGATTAGGACCAAACAAAAACTACAACTATCAATTCATTTTAGAATTTATTTGAATAAAAAAAGAAATTGGTATGCAAATATGCAAATGAATGGCTTTTGTCTCATGCAATAAAAACCTCGTATGCAACATAATAGTAACAAAAGCCAAAACCCAATCAACTCCCTTCTCAATTAATTCCATGCAGTAAAACAATGGCTCCTATCTCAAACACCAAAGACTAACATGTGTGGTGTCCCTCGGCATGGTAATAATATGGTATTACAGGGGATTTCATGAACGAAGAAATGAACGACATAATTAGCAACACTTGCCCAATTTCACTCACTACAATGGGTCAAATCTTCAATAACTGTATTGAAGGCAGTATTCAATGTAGAAATCCATAAAAAATTCCTACACAGCCCAATTATAAGCTATAATAAACGAACTTTCTGCAAAGACTTCTTCAAGTCAATGTCTGTGTTAAGGCTAAAACAATTTTCAGGTAGCTACTGGCAATTGCATGCAAGAAAACACAGGTCAATCTACAAAATCTTGAACAGTGAGATGAGGAAGAAGTCCGAAGTCCTCCTAGGTAATCTGTAAAAAACAGAATCTGGAAAATTTTGCTAGTCATTGTTCAATTTACAGATTCGAGTCTCTAGTTGTTACATAAGCTTCGCAGAACTTTCCAATATCTCAAGCTAGAAGGGTTTGTGTGTATTGCTCGAAGAACCCATTGCTGGGGACTTTGACAGTACTCTACCCTGGATGAACTGTCAGACTCAGATTCAATCTGTCTTGCAAGCAAATGCATTTGAAAAAAGAGCTCTGCAGGTCTCATTTCTGCATAAAACAGAAAACCTATCAGAATTATCATTGAAGGCGTAGCTACTTGTATTAGCAACAACTTTTTAATCATCACAATCAAGAAACATTTATCAAGCCAGCTTATAGAATCAAATTTACCACACTATAGTCAACCTAGGCCTAGAAGGATGTAGCTATCAATTCATTGACAGAACATCCACTGACACAATGAACACTAATGCCTTGCATCGGTCAATTACTCTACCAACTTCTCCCATGAAAATGGCCAATGTTGCAAGATCCCATTTTGCAAGACCTAAATAAGCCAGTTGATCTAATATATAATCAGAGGCCTATTACCTCCTTAGTGCTACTCATTTCATTCTTAAGAATTTACTTGACTAAACTTGAGGTTCATATAGTTATCATTCATTCACTTAAATATTATTTTGCTCATTACATCTCTTAATTCGCAAGGTGGAAGTAGATTCACCTTGTAAAAAGTGGTATTTAATGCATTCTCAAAAACATCCCCATTTACTTAATGTTGCTTTTTCCCATCCCTTGCTTGGTGGCTAAAAGATGTTAAAGACATCCAAAGGAGGCTCCTTTGAGGAAGTATGGGCAAAAATTTAAGCACTATTTGCTTAAATGGGAGTAGTCAAAACAACTAATAGAAATAGTAGGGTTAACCACTAATCTCCTTTAATAAGACCAAACTTTGTAAACAGCTTTGGAGATTTTTGGCAGACAAAAATACCATCTATGGAGGTCTTTGATCCATGCCGTGTGGGGAGACACTAAAAATTATGCTGGAAGCGTTTGGATTAGAAAGGGTGAGGTGAGCAGCACTCTTCACTGTCTCTTTTTGCCACGATTTTATGGATCTATGAAAAATAAATTTTCTTGCTTATGTTGGAATGAAATAAGGAGGCCTTCATTGACCTAGGTTTTGATATGGAATGTTCATTTTCAGAGAAATGTAAAGGATTAGGAGTTTGAGACTCTTGCCAACTTTAATCCACTTCCTGATGAGGTAGATTGGTCAGAGGGGAGACCCTTACATACGAAGACCAAGTAAAAGAGTCTGTTTTGCGGTGAAAGTGCTTTATTGGTGACTTCCACTTGCAAAGCATAACAATAGAAGAGTATGAGAATTTTCCTTGGATGGCAGTTTGGAAGAAAAATGCTCCAATAAAGGGAGCTATTTTGCTTTAGAAGCAACTTGGTGAAGAATTCTCAACATAAATAACCCACAAAAATAGGGAAAAAGAGTTTCTCTACTATAACTGTTTTCTAGGTGAGGCAATGGGTTGGTCTTGGACAAGACAGCTTAGGTACTTGGCACATGGGCTGCTGAAAGCCACTTGGGTGGTTTCAGGTTTCAATACCGAGTAGTGGGCTTGGAAGGGTCACATGTACAGGTAAGAGAAAAGTGATAGGGTTAATCCCTCAGGCAATTATTTGGGAGGCTGCAGAGGGAGAGAAATAGTAAGGTTTTAGAGGGAAAGTGTAAGCCCTATTAAAGCCTTTTAAAAACTTGGCTCAGTCCTCTGCATTTTTGCTCAACGGTTTTTGGATATAGAAGATACTTTAGATTCTAGTGATTGCAATTTGGTAAGAGCTAAATAAATAAAAAAAAAAAAAAATTGGCAGTGAACAGAACTGTCAGAGGCTCTTAGGTAACTGTTTGGTGCTCTCCAACTCCCTCGCCATTTCCACTTTATAGAGAATAAGAAATTCTCATGCATCAACCAGTTGGGAAGTAGGTGCTAACACAGCTATTAAGAATAGAGCTTTCTCTTTTATAATCTCTTTAAAATTTTCAAGCGACATGGCAAATAATCAGCCCAGTCCCAGACATGTGCAGCACATATACAACCTTAGTGACAAAAAAATATATAAAAAGGAAAGAAAAAAAAACAACACAGATAAAACAACAGCAAAAAGAGATGTGGGCAGGGAGTGAACCTGGTGGCCAAGAAAACCATTCAAGACGAAGGTTTCTCTCCCATTTTTTCCTATAACCAAGGCTTCCTTCTGCTTGGGCCAACAATGCTGAGATAAAAGGTATTGGGACCGAAGAAGTCACATAAGCTCTACTGAGACTCCTTATGGCACTAGACAAAAATTGTGAATAACGATACCTCCGTGCAATCTCCAGAGAAGTGACACCTGATCCATCAATTATATAATTTCTATGTGAAGGGAAAAACTAAAACACAAAAAGAAAAGAAAGAAAGGAATGTAAAGAAGCTATATTTAGTTAAATCTTAAAGCAGCATCATGACACATAGAAGTTATACTAAAACCTAATCCCCATCAATAGGTGGGTACCATGGCAAAGGAAAATGCAGCTCTCAGCACTGGCTAACGAACAACTTTGCTCCAGAAAATCCTCTGCAGAAAGAAAATCCTGATTCCATATACATATCATACCCATCATTAAAGTATATACAGCCATCCACATATTCCATGAATTATTCCTCCCTCTTGAGCTTTCCTTGAAGGCTAACTCAACAACATTTGAAACAGTTTGCAGTTCATATTGAGATTCCATTACTTTTAGGCATATCCAACCAACAAGAAAATCTGTCTTAAGCCCCAAGCATCTTTCATACTCTTCTTTGCAATTTTTAAAATTGCCTTCTGCAGCATAGGCACGACATAATAGTAAGTGTCCAAAAAACTGGTAGCTATTAGGAAGCAAAAGTGCTGAAGCATCTTTTGCATGGTTGATACAGCTAATTATATTCCCCCTTTGCAAAAGAATTTCAGAAGCACATAAATAAAGCTGAAACTTCTGATATTGACAAGAGGCTTCTTTTCCAGAATAGAACTCGTCAGAAAGAGCCACAATAATGAGACGTTCAAGCATGACACAAAGGTTTATGGGAAATCTCTCTTCACGTGCTTTCTGTAAAAGATTAAGCACAAGCAAGTATCGGCCATTACGGTTCCATGGCTCTTGGCGTAACCACCTGCACATTGAAAATAGAAACAAGATTGTATCTTTAATTACATAAACCAACACAAACAATTCAGAGTACAACAGCAAGAAAAGTCTTAAGAGACTCATTTGCCAACTAAAACAAAGAGACTAATGTCCTCTATTTTTAGAGGAGGGGACGCAGGTGGAATTTCTTAAGGTATGGGAAAGGAAAATGTTATGGGCACCAAATTTAGGTTTCGCATAATGTATTCCATGCATACACTGAAATAACATACTCATCCTGAAAAGCAAAGAAAAACCAAATTGGTTTTCTAGATTCATAACCTACAAGTCAAAAGCTATGAAAAAAAAATTCAAACTGACAACAGGAAACAGTTAAAATACTTCTGTAGCTCTTTCATAGCTCCAAAACCACTTTGGCATTGACAGCCACATGTTGGGAAAGAAAACCGCGGTTCACTATTGCCCATCGAATGGCAAGCAACTGCCCCAGCACTGAAGATCTCCCATGCCAATTTTAAGCCTTCTTTGTTCCTAGAGTCAGAAGAATCAATGATAGAGTATGTACTTGCCACATGAGTATTTCCCCATATTTCACTGGCCATCAAAAGATAACCAAGTAGGTTCCTGTTCCCATAACATTCATGTTAGAAGTACAACAAGTGGGTTGGCTAAAAGCTTACAGTTAAAAATTATATACTAAATTCCAATAATTAATTACGCCATCAGCATTCATACAATCAGAATGCTTGATGTAGGTAGCATCAAACTGTTCCCAACAATAACTAATAATACCTTCTTAAATTCCTAATTGTTTCTAAAAAACTTCCACAAATTATTTGCTAAAATCAAAACATACCTTATTAAATTACTGTTAGGGTACATGTGAAGAACTTTTCTAAGATGACTGACTCCACTCTGAAATTCAAGGTGGTGCTCTGTCCCATGTTTAATCTGCATAAATCAAAGGTATAGTAACATCCATTAAATGTATATGGCCTAAACTAGTACAGAATAGAAAACACAATCTAAAACGCACACAAAAAGCTTACTAGTTTACTAAGTGCGATTAGATAGTGCATGCCAGTAATCTCCTCATGTGATGCAAGAAAGTAACGACTGCTTGAAACAATCGATTCCAGCCTGTAATTCTGATCCAGAGCATTAATGGCAGAGACAATAATGCTTATTTTTGAACTCTGAAATAGTTCCTTTGGCATTTTCATTATGCTAACAATTGCTAAATCCTGTCCAGAAATGTAGTACAGCAATCTACAAATGAAACTAACAGACACAGCTGCAGATGTCCTATCCATGGTAGGAATGCTGGCAGCTAGGGTTCTAGTCATGGAGAGGGCTGCCTCATGCTCTCCCAGTTTCCATAAGGAGAAAGCATATATTTGCAAACCTTCTGCATCAAGCATACCTTACAAAAGAATATATACACAACGGATTAGATCACACTTTTGTAAGTTCAAACAAAAAAACTCGTGAAGTCAAAAGGCAACTATGTTGGTTATCCAAATGTTCCGAATTTTATCAGGAAAAACATGATAGCCATTATAAGACTGAATTATATGCTTTCCCAAAAGACTGAACTATGTTAATTATCCATTAAAAAAATGCACATTGCACTAACTTCTGTTAAACGTTGTAGGACTGATAAAAAGAAAACCAATTAGGCACCCATCCAACTCTTTCCCCTACCAGACTAATGCTTTTCAATATCAAAAATATATAAGCTAGCATTGAATAACCAGATATCAATAGAATAACAACCTTCTTTCTCCAAGTCTTCACATTCTTGCACAGCACCTATGGCATTCCCTGCCTGCACTCATGAAATAAAAGACAAAAAGAAAAGCTTTTGCTTATGCAAGGAAAGGATAAACGACACATTTTATGTTACAGTGTGACAATAAAATTAATTAAAAGAACACATCAATGCAAATCTACAAAAACTACATATTTAAACAAGGGAAAAGTGCAAAGTTTTTTACCTTACTAAGTGATCTGGCCAAATTAATTGATATGACTTTCAAATGAGCTTTGAGCAAAGTGCCTGCAGAAATGTTGATGGTATAGCGAGCTAGCCTATAAGAAGCAATGGCAGCTTGAAAATGAAAACGAGCCTCACATACTAGCCCATTTAAATTATGGGATTCATGATAATGGGGTGCACGTTGCACTGCCTGCTGGATAGCTCCAAATACCTGTTGTAAAATACTAGAACTATCACACAGATACTTGGGAAATCATGTTTGTTATCAGCTCTTTCTAAAGGTATATCTTTTCGGAGAATAGCAGTTAAGGGTATTGAAATTAAAATAATTCCAAATAGAGGTATGTCTTTTGTGGGGTATGACTTCCTTTTTAATATTAGAATCGTCATTCCCCTTATCTGAAATAATTTTGATTTCAATAGACTAATGTGGTGTTCTCATATTTCTTTTTTTTTTTTTCCAGAGGATGTGCTGTAACATTTTAATTAATATACCTGTGAAGATAAAAGGTTCCCTGAAAGCAAAGCAAGCTTAGCTAGACCAATTTGGAACTCTGCAAGCTGCATGTAAACCAAAGCTCTAAGTAGAGGCACACAAACTATTTGTAAAATGCATGGTCAACTCCTCCCCCTAAACTATTTCACTAGGAGATGATTACTGCATCCATAGACTAATTTGAATTATGTCCATACAGGATTATGCAATAAGCACTGCCAATCCAAGGTTAATTTCTTTATCATGAACTTGTGGAAGAGAATAAAAGGAGATATCAACACTTACAGGCAATATCTTCACAGCACGTAGGCAGCTCTCAAAAGCATCATCTGGTGTTGACTCCCTACAAAATCAAGTAAGCCTCGGTGTTGATAAGCCTATCAACTGACAAATTGTTTCTAAATATGTTGTTACCAAGAACTAAATTAAGAATTTACCCAGAATGAGTATCAGCTGACATGCCAGCCCATGGTAATGCTAGTGATGGATCTATACCTCTAGCACAGTCAAAAGCTTGCCTAGCCAATTTCTTCTCATTCTCTTCTCTATAAAGCTATCAAAACACAGAGTTGTTAGATGCCTATCAACGATTAGACTCGCAACAACCAACATGGATCAGGACAAGCTTAAGCAAAAACTGCAAAGGTTGACCTTAGGGTTGCATTTAAGCTAGGAATTCTACTACATACATTTACTTATTGTCAAGCTTCTAACCTTTTGCTGAAAATGACTTGTAACACAGAACAGACTCAGGAAACAACCTGCTAACCACCTACTGAATATAACATCAAAATGAAATCATTAACATTCTTCCCAAATAATATATATCCTACCTATATAGGATTTATTTTTCAACATACTCAACACATTGTAAATGCAACATTAGTCAATTTATAAATAAATAACAAAGTTAAGTTCACTTATTTTCAACTTATAAACTACGACCAGGAAAATAAAAGAGAAATGATTCTAAAACAGTGGATGGTACCTTTCCAAGATACGCCCATGCATTAGCTATAGACACATCCAACTGCAGTCCCCTGATAAAAGCATGCTGTTTCAATGCATTACACTCAGACAAACAGCCCAAAGCTACCCAGAACTCAAAGTTGTCACTCTCTATCAGCAAAGCCCCCAATGTCATCTTCTCTGATAGCTGCCTGATAAAAAAGATAGTAAGTCAAAAGAGTGAATCTACAGGAACATAAAATGGTTATGTTTTAAAAAAACCCAAGATCTTACCAGGTACATTTATCATGTGTATGATCCTTGTAAAAAGAAGAGATAAGATTGGAACTAATGGCAATGTCAATATAGATGTTAGCCTGCCATGGGGCTAAGTGCAAAGCTCGTTGATAAGAGTTTTTGGCAGATATAGCAGCTGAACAACAAGTATTCTTCCACGAATATATGGACTTCTCAAAAGTTTCAGCCTTATATTCTAAACTCTGGCTCTCCTCCATCCATGGATAACCTTGAGCATATGCAAGCTGGCCAGGAGGGAAACACCCCTCAATATTGAATCAATCATGTTACAAGAATAGGATTACCAATAAATATGGTGCATGTAAGGTGATTTAGCCCCCAACCCCAAACCAGAAAAAAAGAAGAAATGGATATCTAAGGGCCAAATTTAGATAATTTACCTGAATATCACCATGCAACTTCCAAGTACCTGATGAATTACCAGCTGATTGGATGCTTGCTTCTGCTACTTTGCATGCACCCTGAAACAAGCCAGGCCAAACTATTATATGCTTCTCTTTTGCTATTACTAAAGTAGCAAGGAAACAGAGAGATGACCAACCTCTAACAATGAAGCTCCCCATCTAAATGCTCCTGAATTTATACATTCTTTTGACAGACCAAGAAGCCCAGATGCAAGTCCACAGAGTGCAGATATATTTTGTGGTGTGATCTTCAGTGCTTGCTGAAATTGCTCAATTCCCTTGATGAACAAAGACAATGCTATCACACACAATGGTCATCATTTTGTAAAGCACACATGAGGATTAGTACAATCAATGAAAATCACAACTTGTTGGCCTAATATCCATGAGCAATCCAACTTAATACCCCTACATTTGAAGTAAGGGGATTGCACAGCAGAAATTTCCAATACAGAACAGCATAAATGAATTCAATTAGACTGCATGAGATTTCATTAGATCATATGTTGAACGACTGAATCAGCCAACCAATACACTAAATTACCAATACACTAAATTATATTCCCAAATTTTAGCCAAAAAAAGGATAACAGCTGTCAAACAAGATCTTCTCGACCTAATAGTGAAACTTTTACAAATACTGTTTCACAAGATCCCATTGAGATTAACTTTCACTCTAATCAATCAAGTGGATATATGCATAAAATAAGAAAAGAGTGGGTTTGATATATAAAATTAAAAAAGTAAAGATATAAGGTGAATCAGAGAGATAAATATAACCAAAAAAAAAAAAATTACCTTTCTAAAGGAACCAAGCATCAAAAAGATGTTTCCACATTCAACCAGCGCAAAGACTCTTGTATCTTCCAATTCAATTGCACGCCCATAGGACTGTTACAAATGCCATAATAAGTTAATTGCCTAATGATTATGTGGGACCCAAGAAGATAAATTTGTGAAAGAATTCCTTAGACTAGTTAAAAGACCAGCCTTAGCTATTATGGACATAGATATGATTTAGACAAATAATAGATCATGTATAAAAGAAATGGGTTTTCTTGCTTTCAGCATGTTCATTTGTACACAAGAAAATCTCATGCAGCATTATCTGATAAGTACAACCGTGTTTAATTTTTAGTTGCATCAATCCAGTGTTAGATATGTGAATCACACACTGAATAACTTTAGAAGAGTATTTTGCTTGAATTGAAAAAGAGAAAAGAAACGGTCAGAACTAGTTTGAAAGATAAAAGGAAAGTGGATACCTTAATTGCGGCAGTAAACATGCCAAGTCGATGGTAGGCAAGACCAAGAGCCTAGAAGACAATTATTATTAGGTATAGAACAGGGTTGGCAAAATTAAGAAGCAATAGAATGGGTAAGTACAATATAAAGGAGACAAAGAAGAGGGGAGAAACTTACTTCCCACAAATCAGGAGAGGTAGGATAGCCGCGAATGGCATGTTGAAGACTTTGTACAGCTTCAGACCATTTCTTATGATGCACCTGATCCATTTGATGAATGCAGATGCACACCAATAAAAAGGAAAAAAATATTTGAACTCTTTCAAAGGAAAAAAAAAAAGAAAGAAAAAAACCTGGAGAAAACCCAATCGGCGGAATGCCCAGAAAGCCCTGGGGGAGTTGTGAGAAGCATCTTTGCAAATTGCGAGCTCCAAGGACTCCTTGCCTTGTCGGTCCAACAAATCACACAAAGCTTCCTGCGCGCGTTGTTATTTACCGTTAATCAACGAAAAAAGAAATAACAATAATAAAAAGAAGGTGGAATATACCCCAGCATCGGAATCATCGGGATGAAGGGATAGAGCTCTCTGATAACATTTGATGGCTCTCTGGACATCAACCGAAACAGTGGCGTAGTAATGGCCCAAGTATTTGAAGGCTGCTGCGTTTTTAGGGTTTTGTTTTGCGGAAAGCACCCAATGCTCCGCCGCTCTCTCTTTCTCTGTCTCACATTCCCACAAGCATAGTCCCTGCAAATTCACATGTGCCTTCCTATTAGTATTTGCTCAGAATAAAGACCAACAAAAGGAATCGATAATTTTTATTACAAGTTGAAAATGAAGGGAGGGGTCATCGGGATTGCTTTCCACCAACTCTTCCAGCCGCCTTCTTTCTTCTTCCTCCTGCTGAAATCATCCATTCAAAAAATTTACTCCATGTATTAAAGGTTTTCGCAAAGCCATTTAACGTTAAGAATACCCAAAAAAAAAGGGGGCGCAGAAAGAGACCGTTGTTTTCATTTTTGTAATTGGGAATCCTTGAAACCCTGTACGCTGCTTCCTCTTGACTCGCGTTGCATATGTAATGTTTATGCATATAGCTTTGGCTTTGTTTAAGTAGTAATAATAAAATCACTCAATCATGATTTTAAAACATTGTCTAATCATTAAATTCTGAATAAGTAATTTTTTACTTAATCATAAATCATTAACGACGTGCTCACATATCATTATCATATTAATTCTTAAATGTTATAAAGTATTATCACATTAACAAAAAAAAATTTCAAAATTTATAACATCTTATAATAATACCTACAGCTTCTAGTTACAACATTTCACACTATATCACACTGGTATGCATTATACTCCTTACCAAGCCTATATTCCTCCTCCATTTCAACCATACAATCCTCCAACCTCACCTCTAAAACCTTTTTTCACACCTTTTCAGTACAAATCACCCCCAACATCTATCCTAACATCCTCACAACCAACACTATTCCTTTTCTTCTAAGCTTAAGTTCTTATATGAAGTAGATTACATTCCAGAAGAAAAGAAAACCTAACATACAGTTCTACCTTTTGTAAATCCTTATACAGCTTTCCAGCAGGACCTCAAGAGCACTTTGTTACTCTTCAGATCCCAAAAGAATTTCCTCATCAGTGGTCAAAACAAGGATACACTCACATTCACTTTGGTGCTATCAGAATCGCCTTAACCTTCCATGACAGAAATGGAATTCCTGTCTGTACCAGAATGGCTTCATTGGACACCAGATTTAAAGATTACAAGCATGCAGTCCTTGAAATCGTTAAAACAACATTCAATGCAGGAACTGTCTTCTTTACAGTCTTTCCAAATTATAATATGTCTCTTCATGATCCAACCATGTTAGATACTTTAAAAGTTTAAGTCCAGATCGTAGGCACAGAAATGAAAGGCCTCCAGGCAACCCTTCACTACCAGATGGCATATAGAGTTCAAGATCATGCCATTAACTTGCCTCTTTCCCACTCCAGTGATGCAGTTTTTGTTAAAATAGAAACAGCAGATAGAACTCCTAAACATGTTCATATTCCAAAGCAGATTTCCAATGAAGAACTTGCCACCCTTCTCCCAAAGACGTGGACGATAAGTTATCAAAAAATTTAGAAGCAAGATGAACCAATTGAACACTTTGATCCAACCTACAAGACAAATCAAGATAGTACTGTCACCATTGAATTTGATCACAGCAAAGGAAAGGATGTTCCTCTTCCAACAGTCTTTCCAACCCAATTTATGCTGTAAAGATGTTATGCTGATCTCCTTGATGTTTCAGTCACACATTTCTTATCCAATGGAAATCCCGTGTATGCATATAGATCTCCAGAAGGACATTGCTATTGGGACATAAATTGTCAATGCAAAGAATGCCAGATAGATGCAAATAAAAGCTTCTTGGATGATGATGATAATATTCCAAAAAAGCCAAAGAATAAAAAGTCTTTCCAGCAAAAGCTCAAAGAAAGATATGAAAATGGAGACCCTGAAGTTGATCTCCTTGGTGAACTCTCAGGAAAGTTTGACTACTATGTCATCTATCCTAAGAAAGGCAAATCACACCCTCAAACCTATTCAAATCAACCAACACAAAAACCAGATTCCACCCAAAATTCCACCCAACCTTTACCCACACCTTTACCACAAATCTCCATGATGCAACCAAGTTACCCAAGCTCAAATTTTCCTCATTTTGAAGAATTTCATAAAGACCAATACAAACACATTTCAAAAATCTCCACTCCCACTGACAAAGATGAATATGGAAACCAAAAAAATGTTTCTCGTGCTGAAGCAGTTTTAAACAGACAGACTAAAAATTCTCTCTAGCAAAATTCATACCTGCACAGAATCGAACATAAGTTAGACCAAGTCAGTCAATACTTTGATCAGAGCCTTATCAATCTCTAAAATATTATTCTTGAAATTCAGTCAAAGATAATCACACTTGATCAAAAACTCAGATACATGACTGAAACAAACACTGGATTCACTTATGCTTTCACTGAATGAGAGAAAGAAATGAAGAGCCTAAAGATTCAACTTGCAGACTTTCAAAATCAATTTCGTCAAAAACAACAACAACAACAACAAGCAGCTTCTAGTTACAATATCTTCACACCATATCACACTGGTATGCATGATACTCCTTATCAAGCCTATACTCCTCCTCTATTTCAACCATACAATCCTCCAACCTCACCTCCAAAACTTTTTTTCACATATTTTCAGTACAAACCACCCCCAACATCTATCCCAACATCCTCACAACCAACACAATACTTCACTCCTATCTCAGACCAATCAGACCAACCCCTTTTTGGTACAACTGAAAAATGGATTCACAGATTTCGAGAAAAACAACCAGTTGATCCAAAACTCAAACGAATAGCAGAACAACCACTTTTTCAACCTTTCAAACCAAAACCAAGCTCAAGTTCCACACCTCAAAACCCTATACCACAACCAACCCCAAAACCTGTACAACTTATGATTTCTCTTCCTGAAATACTTCACCAGATGGCACAAGACAACCTTTCTCAGTTTTCTTTTAAAGATATTTTTCCCTCTACCTTTGAGATTGAATCTCACATGGACACTGTCAAATCAAATGAATCAGTTGAAATAGATGATACTGATGACTCAGATGAAATGATGCTCCATTAGATTTTCATGATAGAACCAACAGTTGAAGTTCCAGATGATACTCCAGAAGTCCATAACCTTAATGCAATGAATGCTGAACAACACTTTCCTCTACAACAATCACATGTTCCTCTTTCAACATCAAAATTCTCAATTTTTACCATTGATAATGTTCTTCCTTCAAAATGGCCCTCAAAATTTCAAGAATTCTTAGCATAGGGACTCGTTGAATTAAACTCTCATCCCAATATTACGATGAACATAGTTTTGATCAGAGTTATTTCTAGACTAGTTGAAACTCTAAAAAATTTTTAGGACAACATTGGTGAATACAGATAACTCCAGTTTCTTCAATGCCCAACAATCACAGAAGTTGTCTCATCATTTACAGTAATCTTTTATGGACAAAAAACTCACAGATTAGAAAAGATCAGAGAGTAATTCTTCAGACTAAAATGCTGTTCTCTCCATCCAAAAGACCTTGATAGACACTATTAACAATTCTCTTAGTATTTCTACATACTTAGTGGATTCGATGATGTCAACTTAAAGCAAGCATTTCTTAATTCTGCTCCAGAAGAACTTACCCCGTAAATAAAGACCCAGTTGAACCTCAGATCCTTTGATGTTAAATCTATGACCCTTGAAGACATCTATAAGATGATGCTGAAAGCCTTTGATAAGATTTACAAATAGCACAAATACATCAAAACCTTGGTGCACAACTCCAAAAAGCTCGAAAAGCCATGTTCTTACTCCTCAGGACTTCAAATCAAATGTTATTCCAAAGATCCCACATGTTTTTATAGCAACAAGAAAAAAAAAGCATTTCAAAAGATTCAGACCTTTCAGACCTCCAATAATCTCCAGACCCAGACATAAAAAGTTTTTCAGATATACTGATAAACCTAGAAGATTTCAGAAGTTTTTCAGATATGCTGATAAACCCAGAAGATTTCAAAGATTCAAATTTACAAAAAAAAAAAAGAAAGATCTAAAGATCAAAAGTTCAAAATATTTTCTCTGTGAAAAACCAAGACACTTTTCAAAGAATTACTCAAAGTCAGACAAAAAGTCAGTTAAGATGATCCAAGACATTGCTACTATTTCAGGTATCAATCTCTCAGATGATGATCTTGAATCAATTTTATCTCTTGATGATGAGTAAAATGAAAGCTCTATGTTTATGATTAAGCAGTTTGATGATGATGAGTATGCAGATTCAGACTACTCAGAATACTCAAATGATTTTACAAATGATCAATGTTATAAGTATATGTCAGTTCAAGAACTCCAAAAAATCTAAATCCTTCAACCTTTCAAATTACCCTTAGTTTCAGTACAGATCTTCACTCACAAACCTTTTCCTCTTATAATAGTCACAGTTTTTTTATACTAGTACAGCCCAAACCATAACAAACTCCCTTGTCTTACCCAAACACTTTTGGACTAAATAGAAAACCTTCTTCAAAATCGTTGATGAAAATGTATTTTCTACAGACTTTGTCAGCAACCCTGTTACCCTTCAAATCTTTTCAGGATGTCACATAACTCAAAAGATTTTACGATCTCCACTTCCTCAGAAAAACCTTGTTATTGGTTTTGATATCATTACCAGTATACCAGGTTTAAAGCTTAGTGGAAAAGGTATCAAGTTTGAAAGTTATTTTAGACCTTGAAAAAACCTTTCCAACCTCTTCACCCTAACCCTTCAACCAAATGTTTTTCAAGACCTCAAACACAAGTTCATTTACTTTTCATGTGCAGAAAATCACTCAGATTTCCTTCAGAAATGTGATCATCCACTTTGAAAAAATCTTAAATTTTTCATTTTCCTTCCCTTCAAAAAAGATGAAAATGCCAATCCTACAAAAGCTAGTCATTCAGGCATGAACCCAGATCATTTCAAGCAAGCAATCCAAGAATGTTCCCTTCTCCAAGATCAAGGATTAATTGAACCAACCTCTTTTTCATGGGCATGTGAAGCGTTTTATGTCAACAAACGTTTAGAATAAGTTCGTGAAAAATTAAGATTGGTAATCAATTACAAGTATCTTAACATTTTCTTTGCAGATGATAAGTTTTCTCTTTCAGACAGAAAAACTTTGTTTGCAAATTTGGCCAATGCAAAAGTCTTTTCAAAGTTTGATCTCAAAGCAAGATTTTGGCAACTCGGTATACATCTATAGGACAAATACAAACCAGACAAATCTGTGATTACAAGAGTAGAAAATTCAAAGATTCAGAACTCCATTATCACTCTACACTAAAAGAGATTTTAGTTGTAAAGTATAGAATCCAAAGATTTGAATTTCACCTCATTGGATTTCATTTTCTCGTGGAATTAGATATGTCAGCCTTTGATCAGATGCTCAATTTCAAAAAAAAAAATGCCAAATGCACAGTTACTCAGGCTATCACAGTGGTTCTCATAGTATTCCTTCACCATCGTACATATA